GAGGTGCTGGGGCCCAGGTCATCTCACTGCTCTCCGGTCCGGTGCCGCTGCTGCTGGCTCCTTGCATGCGCTTCTTGGCGCTTGTCTGTCGTTCTGGCTTATAGCACCACTCCTCAGCAATTTTTCAAGTAAGAAAGGGCCTTTTATCCTTGGGAAATTAAGTCAGTTTGCTTTCTAGGTGGCTGACAAAGGCAGGGTCGAGTTATTGCTGGTCTGCGCCTTTCTCCTTTCAGGGCTGTAGATAGTGTTGGTGCTTATATGAGTCACGTAGTGGAGATAAAATAGGTTTCATTGGGATTTATTAACTTTGTTGTGTCTGAGTGGCCCCGTCCTGGGGCGACTGGGAGGGGAAGCCACCATGTCCCGGTCGTGATGTCACTCACTGGCTTATGCTTTTTGCTCAGCGAAGTTTGGAGACTCAAATAGTTTAAAAAGGGTTTTAAACTTTATATGTGTGTGGTAAAAATCCCCAGCTTCCTCGTTCAAATAGCGTTAAACCCCTTGCCATATAAATTCTTATTTTGAAAGCAGATTTGGCCAGTGAGCGATTGCAAATCGCCAAAAGTGGAGAGGAGGAGCAGACAGGAAAAAACAACAATTTTTAACTAATTATTTACGGTATCTAAGGCAAGTGGATTACATGTGAACAGCAGTGCCTTGGTGTTAGCTGGGAAGCATTTGTCTCTACAGGGAAGTAGAATCATAGAATCATAGAATCATTGAGGTTGGAAAAGACCTCTGAGATCATCGAGTCCAACCGTCGACCCAACACCACCATGTCCACTAAACCATGTCCCTAAGTGCCTCATCTACTCGTCTTTTAAATACCTCCAGCGATGGGGACTCAAAGTCCCCCAAAAAGTAAATGCTCTGAAGAAGGACCAGAGGACCTTGAGAGGACCCTGGACTGGCCAACCTGCACAGTCACTTACAGCATTCATGGCAAGCGAAATACCAGACTGCAATCACGCTGGTCCAACGAACACCGTGCCTTCCCACCCTGAGTGAGCTCTGGCAGAGCATCAGTTTTTTAGGAGGACGAGCAGCAAGCAGACGTTCAGGGTATCCCGGAGGTGTTGGGGAGCCTCGGGCTGCCGTCGCTGCACAGCACAGAGCCCTGATTCTTGCAGCTTGCGATGTATCAGCCTCTAATATAAAACAGTCAAAGCTGGATAAACCAAGACAGTCATCATAGCCAGGAAAGGGCAATTTTAAAGGCTAATCCCTCATGGCTTTCCAAACCAGAAAAAACACTTTAAGGGGCTATAAAAATGTTTCCAAGACTAGTAGATGTTTACCACAAGTGGTTCTTGGTCAATAGTTAGAGAAGAGCATTGTTGGTATCTGCTGTTCGCAGATAATGTCTTTAAAATCCTTCAACCCAAATAATTCCACTATACAGTAATGAGCAGCATCTTTTTTAATGAAGTCGCTGTAGAGATTACTACATAAATACATAATTACAGCTAGGTTTTAAGAAAACAAACAGAAACATATAGTATCTGCATCACAGACTATTAAATGTGCTCGTTGAGTCTCTTTAAGCATTTCATTTTGAAGACTCCAGATATTAAAACTGGCAGTTAGGAAAAGCTCCTGTCAGTTTAGCAGATGATGGCTGATTAGTTAGTCAGAGAAATAAATCCATAAGAGTAAAATAGCTTCTCTGGAGGATTAGACTAAACACAGGAGAGCTACATCAGCATGAGAGAACCCCCCAACAAGGGGAGGAATAAATGCGAGAGCTAACGTGGAGCCTTGTTAGCTTGGGACTCTGCCGTGCCTGCTGCTCGCTGGTGCTCTCACGTCGCCCGCCACTCTTCAAGAGTGGACCTTTGGCTTGGTGCTCCACCACTTCACTCCATCACATGCAGATACAAATAATAATATTTGGACATGGTTATTAAGTGGCACAGTGAAAACACTTCCACCTTCGTGTTTTTTTGTAGAGAAGGACATGGTTATTCAAATGCTGTAATGTCCTGGAGCTAATATAAAACTGCTGAGGGGGAAAATGAGAAACAGTGGTGGTCTCTGAGGTCCAGATACCTCTATAACTCTTTACTAGTTTACAATAGGCCAGATTCTCATTTACAGCAAAGTGGGTTTTTTGTCTGTCTGCCAGTGTGAAGAAGTTTTAAAATGGGTTAATGGATGGAAATTGCTTCTAAATAACTTATATTTATGCCCACTGTAAAGCCACAGTCCACAGTATCCTGAGGGGGCTGTAAGTCTGACTGAGAAACTGGCCTAACAGTGTCCTGTAAAAAGTGCATAAATTAAGCTAGCAATTAAGGTACTTTGAATAGTGACATCTTACTCTTTTAACTGATTTAATTTATGTGCCTTTTTTTTAAATTTATTTTTTTATTTCCTTTGAAGTCCCTGTCAACTTCTGTGGGTGTTCATGCTCCCATTTTCCAGAGAGCTGGATGCTAGGGCTGACCATTGCACACCTCTCGGGATGCGGCAGGTGATTTCTGCTTGCGCTGGTGGAGCTGTGTGATGGAGCCTTGGCAGGCCGTTTCCAAACCCGTCTGTAACTCCATGCATCTCTCTCATGCGTCTGTCTTTCCCCACACCCCGGTAGCAGTTCCAATTAGCAGCAAATTTAACTACAAGGGTGTGAAAGGGACTGTCTGACCTGTGTGGGCCAGCTGAGATGAGATTGGCTCGAAGCGTCCGTGCCTATAGAGCCGAGAGGAAGCCGTGGCGGTGGGCATGGTGCTGGGGGAGGATGGAGCGGGACAGACACCCTTGGCGTCACTTTGGCCGGAGAAGGGCTGGCAACAAAGAACTTTGCATTTTCTGAACTGTTTTTTAGATAAAAAGGAAATGCCAATTCCAGGACTCTGTTTGGCCTGTACGTGTGAAGATGCATGGAAAAAAAATCCAGTTGTAAAAGAGAAAAGAAATGTCTGCTCTCTGTCTTACAGAGCTCTTGCCTGGGGCTGGTGGACCACAAGGCAGACTTTTTGGTTCATTTTTTCCGTTCTGACCATGATGAATTACTTTTTTTACAGCAAGCAGCAAGATAATAACAGGAACAACTTTTGGTGTTCAGACAGTACGTTCTGGTAACTGGGCAGCAGTGTACTATTCATTATGAAATAACTTTCAGATAATGTAGTCAAAATTGCATCCTGACCTAATAAAGAGAGGTTTCAAATATCGTTTATAAAATGCGAAATTTCAGGAGGAAATTGTTATGAGATCTTTCCTCAAGGGAAAGGGCAGAATAGTTTAAAATTCTTCCAAGATACAAATAGTATCAGAACTTTTGGTAATACTCTTAACAGGTTTGGACATAGCAGAACAACTCGTGTTTCGCAGCAGCTTTTGTAGGATAAATTTCAAGCTGGCCGTGCAACTGGTAAAAAAGCAAGCAAAAATCAAGCAGCTCTCAGAATACAAACCTTGCAGACCTTATATTTGTCATTAAAATCTTTAATTCGATTCTGAATGTGGTTGATTCTGGATTGCAGATCAAGTGTCCCCGTGTAAGATGAGGCATGGGAAACCTTTGGTGAGAAGTGAGTCTCAAAAGCAGGTGGGAATCTCTTGGCACTGGACTAGCAGCACGTGAGATGGGGAAGGGCAATCAGGCACGCTGCTGGTGTATGACAAAGCAGGAAAGCAGGCATGGGTAATGAGATGTTTTACATGGGTAAAGCTCACGATCGTGGACAACCTGCCTTTCTCCGTGTCCTGAGGTTGGTAAGACTCCAACCTTAGTGGGGAGGAGAGGCATGTGGTGGTTCCGGGACATTCCCAGTGGGACAGGGATGGGCATCTGGTCCATAATTGGCCTGTGGTGGTGTAACGGTGGTCTCGGTAGCATTTGCTGGCTTGCTTCCCACCATGCTGGAGGTCCCTCAGCTCTGCCCTTGTGTGACACAGGTGCTGAAGGAAACCCTCCGAATCGCTGGGAGTCATGGGTGGCTGGGATGAGCTCAACCACCGACGTGCTCCCCAGGCAAGTGTTGCTGGCAGAAATAGTGTGGGGAGCTGACCCCAAGGCACGATGAATGCGTTGGTGCTCAAGCGTTGTGTTGACGTAGGAAGTGGGGTGCTGCTGTGATTGGGGGTGTTTATGTAGAATAAACAAGCCCTCCTGTGTGGTGGCTGGGCAGGGCTGGTAACGAAGTCTGCATCGTTATTTCCAGGAGAGCTGGCCAGGCTTGTGCGTGCTTTGTAATGGAAATAAAGACAGAGTGCCGGTCATCGTTCTCATATGGGGCTCAACCAGGACGAGCTGAACTCCCTGTGGCCCAAATACTGTGTGACCGCTTTGTGCCCATGGCAGGGGAGGCTTTGCCTGTGCCCGTGTGGCACTCTGCCCTCGCCAGTCCGGTGCCCCTCCCTGTAAATCGGAACCTGCAGAAAGGGTTGGGCTGGGACCTGGTGGGCCACTTACAGAGGCAATCCAATTTAATATCGTGGAGTTAAAATATTACTTGTTTATTGCTAACATACTACTCTTGCATTAATTTTTCTGGAGTCTGAACAATGAAATGATGTGACTTCTCCCATGAATAGACCGTGTAGCGTGTTTTTAGGCTTGTTCCAAATGATAAAAAAGGTGTCTCAGTTTTTGTGGTGATGGCTTTCAATCAAGCATGGACAGGCATCTGCTCTTCTAACGCTTCTCTTTTCTCTCAGTACTCCTGGGTAGCAGAAACCCTGTTATTTCAGATGTGTGTGTTTGTATGTGTAACTAAAATTGAAAATTGTCATTGAATATGTAAGGTATATTTTTATGCATCCTCTATAAATACCAACTTTCAGAATATCGAGATACAGGTAAATATATTTTATTTGCATGCATATTGTATATGCATATATTATATACTTATGTATATAAGGTATGTACATATAAAACTATATTATAAATGCATACTGTTTAAATATATATGTGTGTGCATGCATTTTATATATATAGTAAGGAAATATAGAAGATGTTATGAAATGGCTGATGTTTATTCTTGTATCCTTTGCAGGAAAGATTTCAAGTGAAGAATCCTCCACATACATACATCCAGAAGTTGAAGGGCTATCTGGACCCGGCTGTAACCAGGAAGGTGAGGAGCGTCCTGTTTCCTCTCACCCGTCCCTTGTTCCTCGGCGAGGATGGTCCCGGGGTCCGAGTTCCTTCCTGCCTTTGTCTAAAAGGTCCTGTAAAAGTCTCCGAGAAGAGTCTCGGAGATGCAACAAATGGCAGAGAGGAGCAAAGAGAAATTGGAAAGACGCTGCAGTTTTCACAGCTCAAAAAGGAGAACAGATGTTGCAGAGAAAAGGACCATCTGACACATGAAACAACTTGTTTTAATAACTGTAGCTTCAGTAAATAGTCTGACAAATTATCACTGAGCTGTACTCTAGGTCTGACTTTTCATGTGGGCAGCGCTGGTGGTGAATAAAACCTCTGGCGGATGGCACTTTTCTCACCTGTGTGAAGGGGATGTTGAAGTTTTGAGTCCTTTTCTCTGGGCATTTGCGTGACAGAAGTTCAGTGCAGCTGGCACAGTTCACCTCTCGCTTGCAGCCTCATCTGAGGTTTCAGGGTTGTGAAGTAAAGATGTAACCTGGGGTGTATTTACATGGCAGAGCCTCATCCATCCTTCTGCGTATTATTTTGTCCAAAATAGTTTGATAATCACTCACGAAAGTCTCAGGCACTTCACTTGGCCTTTCACGTGAATGTCGTGCATCCCTGAGTGTGGCTTCTGTACCGGGATGTATTTGTGGATGGTTCTGACATTTCTGCACCGCTCTGATGGACTTAGTACTAGCCTCCAGGATTTTAGAATAACAGTCAACCTACATCCCGTTTAGAGGCCCATCTCTGAACCCTTGGTATTTAACCACTTTGGATATCAGCTCATATCCTGTGTTGATAGTAATAATAGCCTTTAAAAAAAAAAACAAAAAACAAAAAAAGGCAGCGAGAGCATAGCAGATCCTGCCATTGACTGGCTCTGCCTTGTCCTCAACAATCGCTGCTTTGTGTTGCCGTACAATTAGCTGAGGCTGGTGCCCTGCAGTAAAATATGTATCCTGACACGGCTTCCAGGCCGGGGCCGGCTCCAGCCGCAGTGGAGGTGCACCTCCATCCCTGCGAAAGGCGAGGGGCAGACACTGGGTACCCTGTGCTTCCAGCACGCCGTCGCTAGCTCGTGTCTTCAAGGCTGCAGTAATGTCTTCTGACAGTGCTTCTCTTGTTGGAGGCTCTAACAAGGAGTAGGAAACCATTTAGTAGGAAACCTTTAAATTTGCCTGTAGCTGATTATAGTTTTTTAAAAAAAACGGTGAACAGGGGTCTTTGTGTTTTTCTCCTGAAGGGTTTTTGAAATTCGTTTAGTGTTTGGCTTTGCTCTGTGGTTACTCTGTGGGCACACATTGAAGCCTTTCTTATCCTAATGCCACTATAAGAGTCCCATGGCAAATGACAAAACCGAAGGAGCCTAAAAATAACTCCATTGAGTTCCTCTCTTTTGTTGCGTTATTCTGTATCACCAGCAGCCTTTCATCAGCCTGGACTGCCAGGCGGAAAGATTTACAAATGGGCTTCTGGACGGACGCGCGATATTGTGGGGAGAGCTCGTATTACCAGGATTATTGCTGTAATTGAGGTGGTGTCAGCATTTTTGCTGATGATCCCAAGCGTGGCCAAAAGAAGGTGGCTCCAAACGCTGCTGCAAAATGTGTGTTTCGGCTTGTAATTGGGGGCGTAATGGCTCTTCCCGGGAAAACAATTCCTTTTCATCTGAGCTGAATTTTGAAACAGGAAAATGAGAGTGTTGAAATTACACATTTTTAAAGAAATTGCAGTTTGGTGGCTCCTAGAGCCCAGTAAAGCACAGAGCCGGTTCATTGCTCTCTGCCATGGTTGCAAAGAGCAGCCTGGCCTCACTGGAGGTTGACGGTCCTGCATGGGAATATGCTGCCTATTTCTGCCATGCCCTCCCACCCCTGTCTCCTGCCTGCCTCTTGCTACATCAATATTTTACCTTTACTTCTAGAGAGGTAATGTTTTATATTGCTTGCAGTTATATTGTGTAAACTGTCTCGGGAGAGAAGGCACTGTGTTTTTGTACTCTGAGCTAATTAACTGAGGTCCAGAGAAACTCTATGTCTGATCTCAACTAGCTATTTCAAAGTAAAAATTAATAGTGCCTTGTGTCTACTAGGACTTTACTGTGAGACATCTATTTCAGTCTGCCAGTGGCTTTCTGAGCTGGGGTTTAGTCTTGCCTCAGGTAAGCCAGTGGTGCTAACTAGCATGTGTAAAACCCTGGTGAAAAAGGCAGCTGATAATTTTCACATAGGTCAGCAAGGCAAGATAAATCCTATCCTTTCATCATCTTCACCTCAGTAAATGAACTCAGGAGAATTATTAACTGCCAAGTAGTCCCCTTGATTTTATTGTGGGTTTATTGTGGTGCACTGAGAACAAACCCTTTTTTCCCCCTGGTATTCAGAGCATAGTCCTACTTGCAGCAGCATCGCTTGCGTCCTAAGCACTTACAAGCCCTTTCCAAACACATCAAGTCTGTCTGTGTGATAACTGATGACCAAGTTGGTTGTTAAGTACTGCAATTCCAAGATGATTATCATTGTCCATCCATTTCTGCTCTCATTTAGCTTGTTCACAAATGAGAATTTACCAAAACAACTGCTCCAGCATAATTTATCCAGCGGTTTTAGTAGATTGCCATGGGCAAGGAGCACCAGGCAGGAGAGAAGACAACAGTCTTTCTCCAGCTGGGCGAGGAGGAGGCATCACTGGCTCGCTCTATCTGCACACCAAAGGCTGCCCTGCTGCAAGTTGGTTTGGCAGAGGATGGAGAGGAGCTGCTTGACTCGACTTGAGACAAGTCAGTGTGCATTTAGAGGTCTTCTGCTGTGACCGGTGCCTGCTGTGAGCCGTGGAGGGAAGTGGGGCTCTCGCTGCATCCCAGTGAGGTTTTTCCCAGGTCGCCCTTTCTGCTCCCATACGGAGATGTCACAAAACCTCCTCTCCTTTCTGCTGCGTTGCTGCCCAGTGTTTTACTTCTGACGTTTTATGGCCTTTTCCCAGCATCTAATTTTGCAGATACAATTTAGTGTGCACAAATTGTTAAAGCATGCAGATGGCAGCACATGTGTATTTCATTATTGGCTTGCACCCACAGATTTGGTAATTATATAGAAATCATGGCAGGTTTTTTGGTGTGGGTGTAAAGTCTCGAAGGTGAGATTAAAGCACCAGGCTGAGAATGAAGCCCAAATGCTGTAGTTCTCAATGGAGAGTTTGATACTAAAACAAAGCTTGTATTGTAAAGAAATGTTTATTTCTCTACAGGCTTTTAATTTTCTTAATCCTGGAAACTCAAAAATGCGCATGGGAACAGAAGTTATTTTTCTGAGTATGTTTTTGTTGACTGCCGGACTATTGTTGTTGCATTCCTCAGGATTTAGAGGGGTTCTCAGTTTACTTTAATGTTTTATTTATTCATTCTGCACTGTGTGAGATGTTGATACTTTTAATAGCATCACATGAGTCTAATTGTTATTTTTGCCTGCTCACTCAATTACAGAAATTCAGAAGACGAGTCCAAGAGTCTACTCAAGTACTCCGAGAACTGGAAATTTCTTTAAGAACAAATCACATTGGGTAAGAACTTTGATGTCCTCTGGTCTAAGATTGTTTTACATCTACTGATGGATGCCTTTGAGAAAACATCTCTTTGCATGTCAAGCAGCGATACCACTTGATTGATCGTTAAAGCCTGAAGGGCTCAGTTAAGGGATAGCTGGGCATCTCAGGAGAATAATTCAGCTTTAGTCCTTTCATGACAGGTTCATCCACATCTCTGTGAAGGCTGCGAAAAGATTGCAGTCAACTTCTGCTCACCCTAAGTCAGTCAGAGCAGCAATGAGCATGACTGTGTCTAGAATAGTAATAGTATTGCAGCTATAAATATATATATAAAAAAACCCCATGCTGTTTTATAGCTTTAACATGATGCAGTTCGTGAAGCCCGGCTGTGAGTAATATTCCCAGTATTTTACTTCTACAAAGCACAAAATTCCTCTCAAATAGCAAAAGTAAAAGAATCGCAGAGCCTTCAGTTTTTTATCGAACATGCTGTTCCCATCTGCGTTTCCACTGGTCTCACCTCCCTGCTTTGGGTCTCAGGACCAGAAGCTGGTTCAGCACTGGTACGTCAGCCAGGAAGGTTTCTTCAGCGTTTTGTATCATGATCACACGCTGTGTCCAGCTCAATTACATTGATTTTACAGGATGCTGCTCTTGTTTCGTGGAAACAAGGGCATTTTAAACTGTGGGAGGAATAGCTGTTCTCCCTCTGTGGGAGCCGGCTCCCCAGCGTGGTGTGCACGGACACCGTGCATGACAGTGGGGGACCCTCCCGCAAGCTGCACCGTCACAAATATTTCCAACAAACTTCTCCCACACCCCTGCTCTGGCTCCTGCTATGTTTTCCCTTGTTTTGCAGCACAAAAGATTCCCCACCAAAGACAAAGCATGACACTCTGAAGATTTATGATGGCTCATGGGTACGCGGAAGGAACCGTGTTGGTGCACCAGATAAATAAAGGAGGCTGACAAGACCAGTGTTTATTTATGTGGTTCACTTGGCTGAAAGATGCGTTTCAAAATACCTTTTATAAAAATGCCAGGTTGTTTATTTTAGCAGGTAAACAGTGAAAGATTTAAAACCTGAAGACTAGAATAACTCAGAGGTAATGAATTCCCACTCTGCTGAGAGCAGGGGATCCATAGCTGTGAGGCCCCAGAGGCAGAGCGAGCCCGGAGGCCCGGTTCCCTCCCTGGCTCCCCACTCCTTCCAGTGGCACCTAACCCACTCCTGGTGGAGTTTCAGCTGCCCCAGTTGGGGTTTGGAGGAGAGCTGAGCTGGGGCTGTGCTGAGGCTCCTTGCTCGCCTGGGTTTGCCCCCAGATGTATGCATTTTCAAACTTTACTTGGCATTTTTGAGTTTTTGAAAGCTTTGGAAGATAACAGGCTTTTCTGAATTGAAGATTATTTTGCATAATTCTCAGGGACCAAAATTCACAGCAATAGGTTAACATTTTTTAAAAAGAGAAGGCAAAATTACTGTTAAATGTACATCCAGGATGTCAGACCTCACCCTTGGTGCTGTTACTCTTTTGCCGGTGTGCTGCCCGTATGCTTTACAAATACTGCTGGAGATCAGGATGTGGAAAAAAATAAACCAGGTCCCTGCAACTCATGCGTTAGAAGGCAGCTGTAACCACTGCTTGGTGGTTTGCGCAGCAGCGTGTGCCAGGTAGGAGATGAGCCTGGGTTTGGAGCGAAGCCGGGCAGCTGCCGAGCTCCCCAGCGCAACCGTGGCCCTCTTGCAGCAACACCGCTGTGGTGGAAAAGGCACTTACCGACTCTGGAGCTCAGTGCTTAGAAGAGTGAACGTCTGGTTTCTGAGCAATGCAAAGTGCGCGTAGGGGTTTTTATGCTTATTTTTGGTGGAATGTTTTTCCCATCTTAGTGCTGCAAAAAAGTTCATTTCGGTACACATTTTGTAAAGTCCTCTAAAGGACTGTTTTAAAGTCCTCTAAATAATAAAGGGCATTTTCAAAAAGTCCTCTTTTTCCTGACTGAGAAATCAAAGTTTTGCTCAGTAGTGCTGCCTTTCCTGCAACGGATCTGTCTCTAGCTTATCTGACAAGAATTCCAGTAACTGCACAAAGCCCGTGAAACGCTCTGATGTCTAATGATTTTTCTAACAGATGGGTCAGGGAGTTCCTGAATGAAGAAAACAAAGGCCTGGATGTTCTGGTGGAGTACTTGTCGTTTGCACAGTATGCAGTCACGTGAGTAAGACATGTCTGGTACTCTGGGCTTGCAAGTCAAAGCAAGACTCCTGCCATCTCTACAGAGCAAGAGGGGGAATGCTGGGGCAGATGCTCAGCTTTTCTAGCAGAGCCTTCCTGCCAGCAGCTTGGTGTAATACTATGTATGTACCTTAGAGCAGAGAAAATGGTAACGTTAATCCAAAACCATTGGGTCATAACATGTTGCAGAGAACAAAAGCTTAAGTTTAAGCCTTGAGATTGTTTATCTCTAAGACTGTACTGGCATATTTTTTAGCTTTGGGCTCTGACCGTCTTAGGGGTACAGTGCAAAAACATTCAACAGATGTGTGGAAGCATGCAGGCTTCCTTAGAAATAGGTTTGCTATTAGCGTCCGACCCCAAGGAATTATAATAGCGTCTACCATGTTCAAAGCAGCATCCACACACGAACCACTTCTCACAAGGCTTGTGGCAAGCAAAGTTGTCGGCACTGCGTGCAGTAGCTGTGCTGCAAGACAAGAGTAGGAATTTCAAGGTGATTTTGCAAGTCAGGAAGACTATGAAACAAGCTTTTGCAGTTCTGACATCTGGTTAGCTGGGAGTCAGATTTAGTCATTTAGGTAATAAATCATTAAATATACCCTGTTAAAACAATTGGGAACAAATCAGCTTTCATTAGTCGTTATATCGCACAATTTGAAATAGATCGTCAGCTGAGGATCTTGTTTTGTATATCCACAGGCTTTCACTTCAGGATATTGTAGCAATAGATTTTTGTATAAAATTGTATGAAAAGCGATAGGTTAAAGGTACTGTTGTAGTTAGGAACTCGAGCTGAGTAGAGTTGATGTTTTATTTTTAGAAAAGATGCCATCAGATGTATATATACCATCGCACAGAAAAGAGATTTTTGGTGGGGTTGCAGTAAAATTAATGAAGGAAAATTATATGTTTTAAAATGTTACTAACACTGGAAAAAACTGTGCACAGCAAAAAGAAGTGTTTGTATAAAGACTTTCTTCCTAAAATTATACAAATGTATGCAAGTTAGCTTGCTGGGTTTTTCCCCTCTCTAACGTGGTAAACATGAGTAATAACCTCAAAAGCTGTTAGGGGAACAAGCAATTTTTGCTTGAAATAGCAGTACAATGGGCAACGAGTCAGAAATCAAAGAAAATCTGTAATGATTATGGTAATGTATTACATATGCTGGGAGATTCATGAGGGCCAGCAAGCCAGTGTAAATGCTCGGTCGCATAGTGATGGAGGAAACTGAATTAGTACTTGCACAACGTATTGATTTATTGAAATAAAATGGAGACAGCTTTAAGCATTCTCCCTCTTTCCTTCAAGGCAGGGCTAATCATCAGCAAAGCAGCCGATGTGTTTATTTTACATTGAAGTAGAATAATACATAGCTGTTTGATCCTTCTGAAATTGTATGCTCGTGTGGTTAGCTGCTCCCTTTGTCAAGGTCCAGATTTGCTGCACTATGCATTTGAAGCTCGCGCTGAATTGCAGCCGAAGGGAAGTTAGCCTGCATTGCTTTCTTCCTTTCGTTTTGTAATCTTTTGGGACCTGCTAAAATCTGCAGATCTTGAACAGGAAGGAAAATGTGCATCTTTTCTGCCTAACCCGGCATTGGACTTTCTGTTTCCTTTCAGGTTTGACTTTGAAAGTTTGGAGAACAATGTGGAAAACTCGATGGACAAGTCCAAACCTTGGAGCCGGTCTATTGAGGACCTGCACAGAGGCGGTAATTTACCCTCGCCAGTTGGCAACAGCATTTCCCGCTCTGGCAGACACTCAACTTTACGGTAAGGAGTTAAATCAGGCAGCGGGTGACCTGCAAACAGTGAGTGCCCAAGTGAGAAGAGTCAGTATGGTTTTCCAATTAGAAGATTTTTCATCTTCCCTCTTCTCACAGTATAGGCTTGACATATATAGGAAACGTGTCGTTTTACTGATGGTTTTGAGGTGGAAAGAAGTGCTAAGCTAGTAACTCAGGGCAGCATTACGCAGCAATTGAGGAAGAGACAAGAATAACTCTGCCTCCCTTTCCAATGGCAGAATGATCTAAGGATGCACGATACGTTTCCATCAGGTACAATGTGGCTTGCACAGAGGAAGCAATTCCTCTTCTCCAAAGAGTCCCTCAAGATTTCCATGGACCCAGCCAGTCTGGGGCTCCGATCTGGTGTCTCGTCCAAAAAGGTCTCTTTTGCAGCACATTCCTTCCATGCTGCTATGAACAAGAGGGGTTTGTTTTTTTTTTTTTAAAAGGCCACTTCCATCCTTCAAACCTGCTATAAATACTAGCCACCACCCCAGGCTTTACTATGAAGTCTCTCTTTCCGAATACTGGGTTTTTTTCAGTTTGTGCAAAAGGCAGGGTCACTTCCCAGGACTGAACGGCAGTCAACTCTGTTACATTCCTTCGATGCTTCACTATTATAAAACATACTAAACATCACCTTTAGACTAGCAGTACTGTTACCTAGGGGCGCAGCTCAGAGGGCTGAATGGCATTTGCTCATATGCTTTTTGACTTTTTTTGGCTTTTGTGGCGTTTTGTTACATAGTACTGTGAGCATAAAGGAGTCCAAAAAAGATGGAGCCAGTGAGAACTTGTGGCTTTTTCCTACATCTTCCAGTTGAGGTTCGGTTTTGGTTTGTCAGTCAATGGTAATGTCGGCTCTTTAGCTGATGTTAAGTGAGTGCCTTCCACCTACAGCCTGAGTGGTAGCGGATGTGATACCTGGAAGATGTAGTTCACAGACTGCAGGCAGCGGAGAGGAGGAGACAGACACACAGCTCTGGTAAAGAGATACAGGCTGTGGAGTGCGGCAAGATCACTTGACCAGTTGATTTTTTTTATTTTTTAAATGTTGCAAAGGTGTTCTTAGTGGTTTTGGTTTTCTTTGATCTTTAATTACTATGACAGAGAAATGGTAGAGTCTTGTGCTTGCAGGAGGATGTCTGATTCTGCTGTCTTTCGGAGGCATGCTTGTGATTAGTTACGCTAGAAATGCATGAGTCAGGTATACATTACATGTCTCTTACATTTTTTTCTCTTCATTTCCTTCCATCCTTTTTCCTTTTTCACATTCCCCTTTATTCCTTACCTGTTTTATTTTCCATTTCAATGTCTCCTTCCTTGCATCCTTCATTCCCCTCCCTCTTTCAAATGCTCTTCTCCAATTCTCTCTCTCGCATCCTTCCCTCCTCCGCTCTCATCCGCCTTTCACATACCATCAGATTGGTTTCTCTGCCTGAGCAACTTCAGTTCAAACACCACCAGAGCTGCTTTTCAGCCAACTGCCTCTGGAGCGGCTTCACTTTGCGCTCTGCTGACGAGGCTTCGAGCCGGAAAATCTCGTAAGTCCCAGGTGCAAGGTTACACGCAGCACGGGCTGTGCAGGGCATGGGAGCCGCGTGGCGAGCACTGCTCCCCATGCCTTATAATCTAGTAATCATACGTCTTGGTAAAGCGACCGCCTGAGCATCAGGGGGAGTTTTCAGCCTCCAAAACGTGTGGTTATCACATTATAACTTCAGAGTGTAGTTTGCTTCCGTAGAGTGGGATTTTCTAAAAGAAAATAAAATGTGTTTTACTTTGAAACAAGGTAGTAGTTTTCTTTATCATATTGCAAATAGTATTATTAGTTTCATGCCTAAGACATAGAGCCCTTAGTCGTTGTCCATGTTATTTCATCTTTTTTATTACAAATAGAGACTTCACTCATATCCAACACTGGCGCAGAAATGTAACCTAGTACAGTGCTTTTCAGCCAAGTGCCACCCCTGCCTGCAGAGCCATCTTTGTACCGGGGCAGCTTGGGCCGAAACTGTCCAACATTTACGTGGAATTAGCATCTTCGGTTTGTGTTTCCTTAAAAAAAAAAAAAAAAAAAAAAAAAAAAAAATATCTCTTAATACAGTAAAGTTCAGTTCCTAAAAGGCTTTATTTGCAACCTGTATCCTGTCTGCACACATCCTAAAAGTCTTCACAAATAATATTAGAGGCTAGTTTTCCAGAGAGTGCTTGCCTCATACAGCAGGCAAATGGTAGATGCAAAAAAAAGGATAGAATTAAGTTTCATGGATAATCTCAAAAGTGAGAACGGGACATCATAATTTTTTTTCCTTAAAAAAAGAAAAAAAAAAAAAATCTGTGTTTTAAAATGTGTACTTTTTCAATAGCTGGGGACTATGTTTATTAAAAAAAGTAAAAGCTGAAAGTAGGTGGGAAGTTTTTAAGAAGAGCTTTTTTGTATAATTGGTAAATATTAGTTAACTGAAACAGAATCTTTTCCTGAGTACAAGCTAGGTGCTCATCAAATGAGGACAGTGTGCAGGATGGCATTTTCTGGTCAAAACCAGGAGGTTCCTGCCCCGTCACTGGGTAGACGACGTGTCTGGGACATGCGGACACCCAGGCCATAGGTTCTTCTGTGTGGAAGCTCCTCTTCTGTCTTTGTTATAAAAACCATTGAAATGGAGAGAAAGGAAGAAGCGGTCCTCCCTCTTGGATGAAAAAGGAGAAGTCTGACAATCTTAACAGGGTAATTTAAAATTCAGGAGCTGGACTCATCCCTGCTATGCCATAGCAGTATGAAAAATGAAAACAGATTTGGCCTGGATTCCTTTTTATTAAAACAGCAAGAAGATTTGGGGAGACAGTGTTTCGTGCCAGCTTTCACACCGTTTTTTCTCATTTTCGGTACTTCTGTGGCAGTGCCATGGCACCAGCTTTCCTGCCTGTCCTCAGGGTTCAGTAGCAGTAAACCTGCTGTAGCGCGCAGGACCCTGCACGATCCCAGCTGATCTGTGCTGTGCACATTTAATTATGGCAAAAGGAATAGGAGATAAGCACAAAGCAACACTAGGAAGTACTGGCAGGGTTATACCCCTTGCACGCTTGCAAACGATGTGGCTCCATCGTAGTGAGCGGTTCCCTTGCAACCAGCCAGGGCAAGCTTGCCGCGGTGTGAACTCACCCGGCGGTGACGTGGGCACGGAGGCTTTCTGTCTGTTCGTTTGCGTGGCTGAGGCTATCCATTTCTAATTGTGACTTTAACTGGCTTCCCGTAGCTCTTTTTAGTAGTGCTAAACCCTGCCAATTCACTGCTCACTGGGTTTCCTTGGCAACTGAAGATTTTTTTTTTTTTAAGAGGAGGCACAGGGAATTGGGAAGCAAACACCAAAATGAGGGCAGAAGGATAAAAATGGGGATGAACCTTTGGGGATTTTATTGCTGCTTTTTTTGGGGGAAAGAGCATTACTTTCACATGAAAGTCATACTCTCCTGTCAGATAAGTATTAATGCAGACTTTGTAATGTCCCAGTCCATTAGAAATTCCCTTTCTTCGGAGTCAAATACTTCAATTTTTATGTGGTTTGAACTGAGAAACTTCATTTCTTTCTTCAGAATCTGTGGACTCCATAATGACAGCGCGATCCAGGCAAACGTATCTTAATCCATAAATGGGCTTTGAATGCATTCAATAATTGGACTCAAATTTGGTGCTGCGTCTTAGGCTGCAATGCATTGGACTTCGCCATTAACACTGCCACTGCTCAGGGTGACAGCTGACTTCGTCGTCATAATTTTTGTCAGATACTTGCTAATCTAACAGAGCATATTTTTGAGCAGTCAGTTGCTGGTCTCGTGATTCTTCTGGTTTTTCTTCCTGAAGACCACAATTTTTGCAGACCTCGGACAGGCATTAGTCAGGCAGCAGTGTCTCTGGCAAGCAAGGGTAGCTCCAGTGCAGTGGGCACCCCTTTTCATGTAGCCTGCTTGGTGGTGTTATGGGGGTGTTTGTAGGTAAATGCCCTGGTCGAACTGGGGGAGAATCCCCTATGGTACCCGTCTGTGTTTGCGTACAGAGGTGAAGAAACACGCTGTTCCCTTGCTGGAAGTTACGTGGGATGCGCACAGCGTTGCAGGGCTGAGTACCACCTGTGTGTGCATTTACATCTGTAGTCACACACTGGCTGCGTAGCCTGGGAGGAGGGAGGGAGACCAAAGCCGGCTGTTTCGATTTCTTTTCTCGCCTTTTTTAAGCAGCAAATATCTCCTCAGCTTTATGGATTAATAGTTTTCCCGGATTCTTTTGGATGAAGACAAAACCAGCAGGCTCAAAGTCATTTATTTTCTTTACGTTTGTAGCACAAACCAGCTTTGTCGCTCTTGTCTGAAGTGGCAGGAAGGAGACATTTTCGGGCAGCACAGCTACCTGCTCTGGCTCACCCAGGGCAGATATTTATGCCCTTGCACGAGCGGAGGAGCTGATTGCACCTCACTGGTTTTAGTGCTTGTGGGGGCCACCACTGAGCACAGGCTCGTGGTCTTTCCCTCTCCAGGCCTCATCCCCTGCAGAGGGGTGCAAGTTCAGGGTCCCCACGTCCAGCAGACCCAGCTTGTAACTTGCTCTAAGAGGAGATCAGAGAAATCCAAACTTAGTAGGAAGTGCCAAGACCTTCCTCTTCCAAACTCTTTTTCTGCTGTCAGAAGGATGTTCATAGTACAAACACCACCACCTCCAAACCAACAACAACAAAATCGCAGAAATGCGATCCAAAAACCACCAAATCCCAATGAAAACCAGGAGTCCCAGCCCACACAGAGCTGGGCGAGCTGCCACGGGGGTGGTGAGGTCCACCCTGGGTTGTCCTCTGCTCTCCTTGCTCCTACTGTGAGGGAGCCAGTGTAGACAGATGAGGGCATGATATTCTTTAGCAGGTAATAAGATAAAAATGATAGGAGAAACCAGCTGTAACTTGTATTGGTTATTGACGCGGTGCATTAGAA